ACTCCAAGAACATCAAGGAGAATATTGTATTGAAAATTAAATAGAGAGAAGAAGCCATCTAGCTACTAACTATGGACCCGTAGGTCTGTGGTAAACTACTCACGCATCATCGGAAGGGCACCAAGGATGATGTAGAGCCCCTCCGTGATGGTTTACCCCTCTGGCAGAGTGCCGGAAAAGGCCTCCAGATGGGATATGTCAAGAACAGAGAGTTGCGGCGGCGGAAAAAGTATTTCGTGGACTCCCCTGTTGGTTTCCATATTTTAGAGGATTTATAAAGGCAGAGTTAGGTCAAACGGAGCCACGTGGGCCCCATAAGCCACCATGGCGCGCCCTGGTGCTCGTGGGCTACTGCTCCCACTAGTGCAGAACCGGGCAATAGCACCGGTTCGTAAGGCCCTTTAGTGCCGGTTCCATAACCGGCACTAAAGTATGGTCACTAAAGGCCCCCCCTTTAGTACCGGTTCAGCACGAACCGGTGCTAAAGGGCAACCACGTGGCACGAGCCAGCTCCGGGGGCCTGGAGCCCTTTAGTACCGGTTGGTAAGACCAACCGGTACTATAAGGTTTGGGGTTTTTTAGTTTTATGATTTCTTTTTCATTTAATTTTGTGTTTCCATTTTAATTCTTTTTCGTTTGCTGGTATTTTACGATACTACACACTGTAAACGTTATGCATATATATATATATATATATATATATATATATATATATATATATATATAAATAGAATTTCTAGTAGAACCAATCATCGAGTTCAACATGATTGTCATGATATTATAAGCGTTCATATATAACACCACAAAAGCAAATCACTTAAGTTCAGAACGAAGAACACGGACATGAAAGGACAAGTACTAATTAAGAGCAGCATGAAGAACTAGCTAAATCACTCCTGCTAGCTACTCTCTCTCTGGTAAACTAGCTAAATCCATCTTTTCGTCCCCTCCCGAAGCTTCCGGGGTCTCTTATTGCCAGAAAAATCCCCAAAAAGTTTCATGGCATTTGGACTTCATTTGGTATTGATATTCTAAAAAAAATCAAAAATAGGCAAAAACAAAGAACAACAACTGACACTGGGCACTAAATTAATAGGTTAGTCCCAAAAAATGATATATGATTGCTTGAAAGTGTATATAAAACATCCAAGATTGATACTATAATAGCATGGAACAATCACAAATTATAGATACATTGGAGATGTCATGGTGCTGGTGTCCTTGGGCTTTGCAATTACGATGATGTTAACTTCAGCATCGACGTAGAGTGTAGGAGGTAATCAAGGCGCGCATGTAGATAGTGATCAACATCAACGACATCTGAAAGACGGATCGTGTGCTGGATTTATGGTTGGTGACTTGCAAGTATGGTTTCCTCCTCCTACATCTTACTCATGCAGTGGTTCCAGATCTGGAGTTCGATGGCGTGTCGGGGTGTTGTCGGTCTGATTCGTTCAATGACAATAGCTCCGCCTTCGGTGAACCACCTTGGAGATGGTGCCATGTCAAGCTTGGATGAGTATGTGACCCGTCATTTTCCTTTGGTTGTTGTTGTGGTGGTGCCGGAGGCAGGTGACAGGCGTTGGTGTCAAGCTTAGGAAATTCTTCGGCCTTGATTGTAATTTTCTTTCCCGATTGGTGTTTCCTTGTGCAAAGGCTAGTGATCACTAGCGGAGCTATGTTGGGGCGGGGCGGCGCTGGCCTGAGCTTAGATGAGATTTTTTTGCAATTTGCACCCCAAACACTCATGTTTTTGAAGGAAATATGCCCTAGAGGCAATAATAAAGTTATTTTTTATTTCCTTATATCATGATAAATGTTTATTATTCATGCTAGAATTGTATTAACTGGAAACTTAGTACATGTGTGAATACATAAACAAAACATATAGTCCCTAGTATGCCTCTACTTGACTAGCTTGTTAATCAAAGATGGTTATGTTTCCTAACCATAGACATGTGTTGTCATTTGATGAACGAGATCACATCATTAGGAGAATGATGTGATGGACATGATCCATCCGTTAGCTTAGCATTATGATCGTGTCAGTTTCATTGCTACTGCTTTCTTCATGACTTATACAAGTTCCTCAGACTGTGAGATTATGCAACTCCCGAATATCGGAGGAACACTTTGTGTGCTACCAAACGTCACAATGTAAATGGGTGATTATAAAGGTGCTCTACAGGTGTCTCTGAAGGTGTTTGTTGGGTTGGCATAGATCGAGATTAGGATTTGTCACTCCATGTTTTGGAGGGGTATCTCTGGGCCCTCTCGGTAATACTCATCACTATAAGCCTTGCAAGAATTGTGACTAATGAGTTAGTTATGGGATGAAGTATTACAGAACGAGTAAAGAGACTTGCCAGTAATGAGATTGAACTAGATATGATGATATCGACGATCGAATCTTGGGCAAGTAACATACCGATGACAGAAGGAACAACGTATGTTGTTATGCGGTTTGACCGATAAAGATCTTCATAGAATATGTAGGTGCCAATATGAGCATCCAAGTTCCGCTATTGGTTATTGACCGGAGATGTATCTTGGTCATGTCTACATAGTTCTCGAACCCGTAGGGTCCGCACGCTTAACATTCGATGACGGTTTGTATTATGAGTTATGTGATTTGATGACCGAAGTTTGTTTGGAGTCCTGGATGAGATGACGGATATGACGAGGAGTCTCGAAATGTTCAAGACATAAAGATTCATATATTGGAAGGTTGCATTTGGACATCGGAATGGTTCCGAGTGGTTTAGGCATTTTTCTGGAGTACCGGGAGGTTACCGGTACCCCCCGGGAGAAGTAATGGGCCTATTGGGCCTTATTAGAGGAGAGGAGAGAGGCCACAAGGGAGGGGTGTGCCCTTCCCTTGCCCAAACCGAATTGGACTAGGGGAGGGGGCCGCCCCCCCCCTCTTTCCTTCTTCCTCTCTCTCCCTTCCCTTTCCCTCCAGTGGAAGAAAGGGGGGAGGTGAATCCTACTTGGACTAGGAGTCCAAATAGGACCCCCCTGGCGCGCCCAACCTGGCCAGCCTCCTCTCTCCCTCCCTCCTTTATATACGTGGCCAGGGGCACCCCATAGACACACAAGTTGATCTTTTAGCCGTGTGCGGTGCCCCCTCCACGGATTTCCACCTTGGTCATATTGTCGTAGTGCTTAGGTGAAGCCCTGCACCGGTAACTTCATCATTACCGTCACCACGTCGTCGTGCTGATGAAACTCTCCCTCGACCTCAGCTAGATCTAGAGTTCGTGGGGCGTCACCAAGCTGAACGTGTGCAGATCGCGGAGGTGCCGTATCTTCGGTGCTAGGATCGGTCGGATCATGAAGACATACGACTACATCAACCGCATTGTCATAACGCTTCTGCTTTAGGTCTACGAGGGTACGTGGACACACTCTCCCCTCTCATTGCTATGCATCTCCTAGATATATCTTGCGTGATCGTAGGAATATTTTTGAAATTACCGCGTTCCCCAACAGTTTGGCCTTGGCCCGAGTAGAGTAGTTTCTACCTAGCTCCGCCACTGCTAGCGATATGTTGTCTTTTCAGTTTTATTATGTCGGTGTCTATATGGCTTGTACTATGATCTTATGATATAATGAAGCACGTATTTCGAGTTTTCCAAAAAAATGAGCATGAGAAAAAGGCCGAAGGAAAACGTCAATGGTGTGTGTAGCATGTGAGTAAAAAAAATGCTACCGGACTGATCCTTGGGCCCGCCCAAAACTTGGCCCGGCCAGTCGCCACCCACTTATTGCTGACGTAATCGTGTCGTCAAGACCACCGAAGTGAGAGCACCTATGTGCCGCATTCTGCAGCAAATATATGCCCCTTCGCACATAGTGCGCCCAACTGGGCCGGCCCATTGGGGCGCGCAGCGAAAAATTACAAAAAGGTTGTTCGCGTTAGTTGGACCTTGGGACTCTGAATTTTTTTGTAAACACAATTTTTTTTCAAATTTGTGAACAAAACATCAAACCGGGAACAAAATTTAAAATCACGAACATATTTTGAAATTTTTGGAACAAATTTCAAAATGGAGAACAATTTTGAGAATCACAAAAAAATTGAAATGCGAACAATTTTTGAATATGTGAACAAAAATATGAAAATACTAACATTTTTTACAATCTGTGAACAATTTTTTAAAATAGGAACACTTTTTGAAAATCATATCATTTTTTGAAAAGTTCTAAACAATTTTTTAAAAATGAGAACATTTTTTCAATCCCCGATTCTTTTTAAAAAATGAGAAAATTGTTTAAAATCCCCGAATTGTTTTAAAAAATATGCATTTTTCTTTTGAATTTATGAATAATGTTTTAAAACCTGAACATTTTTAAAAATTGAACGTTTTTTAAAAGGACGAATATTTTTGGGAAAACATCCCAAGAAATTATTGAAAAATGAGAACATTTTTTATATCCTCGAACAATTTTTAAAAATGCAAATTTGTTTTGGATTAATGAACAATTTTTGAAAACACAAACATTTTAAAAAATGCTTTTTAAAAGCACAGATATTTTTGACAATTTTAGCACAATTTTGGGAACATGAACTTTGAAATAAGAAAAATAAATTGAAACATTGAAAAGAAACAAAAAAAGAAAAAGGAAAAAGAAAGAAGAATAATAAAAATAAAAACGTAAAAATAAAAAACGAAAAATATGAAAAATCAAAAAGAAACAGGAAAACCGGTTCAGGTAACCTTCTAGAAGGTTCCCAAAACCAGATTTTTTTTTGAGAGTTCCAAAACCAGATAAACCGGCTGGAAAACTCTAGAAGGTTCCCAAAACGGAAGCGCTGCATCACGGTAATGGGCCGGCCCATCTTACCTCCCGATCGCTAGCTCTGTGGGAAACCTCGACACTTCAACGCAAAATGCGTCACATAGGATATTCCCACCGAAGTGCCGCTTTCCCATCGGCTCGCTCATCGTCCTATCCAACCCCGGAGCACCACCGGCGTAGCGGGAAGGCATCCATCCATGGCCGTCTCCACCTTCAGTGGCCCTGGGATTGGGCTCGGTAAGCGGCTGACCTTGATTCTTCAAAATTATTGGATCTTGCATTCTTGCGGCGATTTGGTGCTCACTTCGTTTCAGGTTTCTTGATCTTGTCTCTGTCTGTTGAAATCGGCGCAGGCTTCGGCGTCGGCTGCGGATTCGGAGTCGGATGGGGGTTCGGAGGTGCGGAATGATTCATTTCTTTCGCCGCAAATTGTCTGTGAGGTTTTTACACCGAGTTTTAAGGGAAGGGCGAGAACTTGGGATCGCTTATCGTTCAAGCATATTCGGGAGAATTGCTCTTGATTTTTGCTTATTGATTTCGCTGTTTAGTACTCCTTCTTTTTAGGGAAAGCCATCATGGCGCATTTTATTACTTCATAAAATGTTTACATCGTTCAACAAGAACTGCAGAATAAAGCTAGGGGCCTCATCGTGCCAAATGCAATCAACTTTCTGTGAAAAACAAAACCTAGCTAGTTCGTGCGCCACTACATTAGCTTCCCTATGACAATGCATAAAATTAACCAAACCAATATCTCGAGCAATTCCGGTGCACGATGCATAAATCGGAGCTGCTTGGTCATACCACTGACTTGTTCCCGATAATGCATCTATAACACCCATGCAATCAGACTCTGCTTGAAGGCGATTACAGCCAACCTCATTTGCTAGCAGTAAACCATCTCGAAGGGCCATCACCTCCATAGTTTGGGCAGAAGCGGCATAGGGAATGAACCGAGAACGTCCAGCCAGGAAGGTACCCGAGGAGTCTCGGAGAACAGCACCTGTCGCCCCAGTTCCATCCTCCGCATGATAAGAGGCATCAACATTTAATTTCAAACATCCCCCAGCTGGTTTTACCCATTTCTCCTTTACAACACTGGTCACCTTCGCAGAAGTTTTAGAATAATTTGAAGTAATTGCTAGAATAGAGAGTGCACACTTGTTCACCGGAGGGACCGCACCTTCATGTGTTACCTGACGGCGCATCCACCATATATACCAACACCCAGTAAGCACAACATCGTGAATACATAAATCAGGATAGCCCGGCATCTGATTGAAGTTTGATCTTAAAATATGTTCAACTACAAATGACCCATATCTGTCAACTGTACTAGCATCAGCAATAACTCACTCAGTCCCAATTTCAACCAGACGTCCCTTGCTTGAACACAACTGAATAAAAGGTGAACAGTGTCCTCAGGTCCTTGCTTACATAAAGGGCAAATCCCATTAGTCCCAATATGATGGTTGGCAAGAACAGCTCGGACTGGGATCAGACCATGTAGCAGACGCCACCCAATTTTTTTTATTTTTGCTGGGACATTCAACTTCCAAAGTATACCCCAGACTGGATTCGGTCTTGACGTTCCTTGCATCGCACGTGAGGCTCTACCTCCGTACTGATGCATCCATTCGCAATGATATGCCAATCTCACTGAGAAGTAGCCTGATTTGGTAAAATTCCAAGCAACAAAATCATCAAAGGCGTTATATTGTAGCGGAATCTGAAGGATTCTCTCAGCATCTACCGGCCAAAATTGATCTGATGAAATCCTCGTCCCACTGTTCCGTAACTGGACTGATGCGTTCACTAACTTTCGTGATTAGAGCACCTCCTCGTGATGAGATAATTTTTCTGTTCGGGCTAGAGGGGATCCATGCATCCTCCCAGATTTTAATTTGCTCACCATTTCCTATTCTCCATATGCATCCTCTTTCGAAAGTCTGGATACCTGCAACCAGACTTTGCCAAGTAAAGGAAGATCCTTTCTTTGGCCCAGCAGCTAGTAAGTTTCCATCAGTACTCCTATCTGTTTAGCAGTCCCACTCCCTACAAAAGGGATCTGTTTACCCACTTCATAACCAGTAAGATGCATCCGAATTGATTACCAAAAGCCTCCGTATGGAGTTAATTGTTATATATGGAGTCACAAAGAAATAACGAAACATCTTTGAGTACGATGATGGATCACCGCTCACGAATGTGATAAAATGGATGGTAGATAAGTGGATTTCAATCATCGTACCAAAATCATAAGATAATATGTCGTACGCACAGAAATGCTTATGTCGCAGCATTCAATATTATATGAAGCCGGTTTTCCATGGAAGCATGTTTTTGTTCTGTAGAATTTGTTCCTCAACAGCTAAGTTGGTTCCATATTATATGAAGCCTGGTTTCCTTGGAAGCATCTTATAGAAATGCTCATGTTAGGGATCCGGCAACCCTTGAGAGGTTCGAACTCTGGGGTGCGTGCGGAGATCTCAACCTGCCTAGCCTGCCTACTCGCGATCCTCCCTAGCCTAGCGCGTCGAGCTCAAAGAGACACAAAGACACAGAGATTTATACTGGTTCGGGCCACCGTTGTGGTGTAATACCCTAATCCAGTGTGGTGTGGTGGATTGCCTCGAGGGGCTATGGATGAACTAGTACAAAGGATGAACAAGCCTCGGGAGGTGAGGTGTTCTTGAGCTGGTGTGGTGCTGTACTTGTTCTGATTTCTGTCCTCCTTCTATGGTGGTGGCTAAGTCCTATATATAGTGGCCTTGGTCCTCTTCCCAAATATGAGCGGGAAAGGATTCCACAACGGCGGGATTTGAAATGGGACAAGTAGTACAGTCTATCCTGACAAAAGTAGTCTTCGCCTGCGAAAAGCCTCTGGTCGTGACGCTGCGGTGGGCTCGGTGATGGCCTCCGTCCTGCCGGTCTTGGTCTTGTTGTACCAGAATGTAAACCTTTGGCTGATTCCTCGGGACTCCGTGCCTGTGGCTTGCCTCCCTTGCACCGAAGAGGAAACCTGCGCTCTGCACCCGCCTGGCCTTGGTCGTCATGGCTCACGTCAGCTGAGCCTCATGAGGTAGTTGCATAGAACCCTCCGCCCCTCAGGAGCCCTCCTGAGGAGGCCACTTCCTTCATGGGCCTTGGCGTCGTCCGCCTCGCGAGGCTTGGCCCCTCGCGAGGGTCTTGTGGTGTTGGTGTTGAAGCTGGGCCGTACCAGGCCGTCGATGGAGCCACGTGGTGGGCCGCAGGTAGGCAGGGCTGGATACCCCCAGATCCAGGACGGCGACAACAACATTCAGTATTATAGAAATATGAGACATAAGCGAAGCTAGATCCATCGGACTCCTGAGCTAGAGGCGTAGAGTAGACTGTTTTTTGTTGTTGTTCTTGAGATGGATTTTATTGTTAGTGCATCTATTTTAATCCCCATGGCTCCCTAGCCAGGCCTTTCACCCACTGCTAGCTAATCTTTCAAATGTTGATAGTTATTAAACCCCGCATCACAGGAATGGTTCCTCAACAACATTCCTAGTTCTACCTAATATAACATGAGAAGGAACAGAAATATTCTACTTAACCAGGGAACGACAAGGTTATATGCAGAAGGTTTGTGCCCACGAATTTAGTTCAATCTGTACGCTGGTCTGACAAATTAAATCAACAACTCGAAATTGTATTTAACAGATTTTTTCTTCTGATTTCGTGCTAAAAATCCAAGCTTCAATTCTATAAGACACTTTACATATGAATTTAGAATATGATCCATAGCCAATACAGGTAGACAAGACTAGTCCCAGGCACCCAGCTAATAGAGGTTTTGTAACTGGCTTACGTCTGAAGAAAAATTTACTGGAACAGACTTTCTTTGAAGAGTTATGGTCCCATTGTACGTCAGTAACTATTCCTTATTGACTATGCCCATTCATTGTAAGAAAATAACATGCTTTAACTTGTTTTTCTACCACAGGAATGCCTCTGAACGTATTCGGCTTGGGCATCGGTACAAAGCTTATCAGTTACTATATAGAACTACATCATCTAGAGTAAATTGGCACTGAATTGAATTTCCTCTTTCTGAATAGGTGGGGGATGCGGAGTTGGTCTTGGGTTAGGATGGGGCTTTGGAAATGCTTATGGTTGTCAATATCGATCTTCAAGGGTCCAGTTTCAGGGCATTGAGTTTCAGAAAAAGTCTGAAGGAGATGAAGCACCAAAGCTTGCTTCGCCAGGGCTTGTTGAAAAGTCTCGTCCTTATGGCTAGTATAGCTGCGATCATACATTTGGCACAGGCAATGTTACCATTGCCCCCTTGATTGTAGTCAATTGTCTACCTGGAAAGTTGTTTGAAAGCATTTTGATGTTTTGATGAACTTGGACATTTTCATAGTAACAGAATGAGGATAATCCATGTATTGTTTTCGTTTCGGATTACGGTCTTCATATTTGGCTAATATTGTCCATTAACATTCTCTTGGTTGGGTGCACCCTCCAAGTGTTTGTTGTTACTCTTGTTAAGTACCTGTAATTCACTTATGTGTGTAGTGCATTATGTCTGGATATGGTTAATTACAATCTTGTTGTAATAGAATGTGCATAAAAACATTGAGCACTATTGTGAACTCATGACTCCCCTGCATAATTTCTTCCCTACAAGGGGAAACAAAACTGAAGGCTGTATTTTTTTTTCTGAAGACTATAATTAGTAGGCTAATTTTTGCAACAAGGTTGAGAGTTAAAACTGTTAGCTCAAAATGTTCCAAATATTACAATCAGGTGCGGCTTTTATTTAAGTAAAATCAGTGAAAATGAGAATGCAATAGAGAAGATTAATGCAGAGTTTAACACTGATCTTTCGGTGGATGCGGTGCCTACATGCTGGAAATCTGAGCAGCTGGTTTATCATATTATGTATCGACCTGGCAACAATGGTGGTGGCTTGTAGAACTGCTGCTATCAGTGATTCTTCCAGTGTGAGGCCTCTTATGCATTCACAGAAATGGGTTATCAAAGGCAGCTGTGCCGTCGGTTGACGTGGGGGAGCTTGCTGTCTCTGCGTCGCCGCTCCTGAGCCAGTATGTCTGCTGGAACGTTGCTGCGCTGCTTGGGACATCCTCCATGACCCACTCAAAGCCCCTGGGGTAGTAGATCCCTGTCCTTGGGTGTGGCACCCACAGTGCTGTCTCTGCCGACCTTGCTTTTGTTGGCTGCACCCGGCTCGTAAGGTTAGAGCTTTGCCTGTTCTTAACTTCCCTGCATATCACAATCCAGGCAGTTACTTTATGGAGCATATCAGCATAATGATGTTGCATTTAGCAATTCAAGTTTCTCATCACTAGGATATGAACAATCTTTAGATTACAGTAATGTTTGAATGTCATCGTTCTGGAATCTACCATATTGCAGGTTTAGAGGGATGCTAGAGGCTACTTACCGGAGAAGACCAGTCGATTTTGCAATTGCACTGCGGCCCATCAACAAAGGCTGGGGAGGCGCTAAAATCTGCTACTGTTTGTTCTTTCCTCCTTGGGGTCAAGCAACCGATGGCAGTTCCCTCTTGGTTGGTACCTCTCTCCTCCCCAACCCTGGTATATATAGCTGTAGTTTTCTACTTGGAACGCTACCACCATGGCAAGGGTCACACGGACTGCACATCTGGTAGGATATGAATGATTTGACAAGCTCCTACAGAGGATCATGAACGATTTTATTCACAGTCGTTGGCTTCTACTTGAGCAGAGGTTTGAGCTTGATTGGACACCAATGGACCAAACACCATGAGAACTGATGCTCCTAGAATCTGAAGTCAAATCTGGCCAAGTACTGTCCTATGGCAGTACTGTTTCTACTTGGAGAATCATGAGACAGCCCTACTGGTGCTGGTTGTACCTTGTTAGCAACGAAGGAATACAGTTTTCGTGAAGAAAGGGAGAAGAGATGGGAACACAGCTTGAAGAAAAGTAATTACAGAATTTCCGAGCTAAAATCTCTGCTTGTCTGGTTGCAAAGGATGTTGTCTGCCATGAACTTATTTTGAACTCCTTAATACGCATGAGAAGCAACCGACATGTGGACCCCAGTGATAGATGGATTCAGGCAGATTATACATCTGTTGAGTCTTCCTTCGCTGATTTCGAGCCACAAACTCTCATGAGAGATATGTGTTTGCCTGCCTGCGGGATATTGTGCAGTCTGTGGCATCAGAAGAACTTGCGCGTACGGTGTCTCGTGACCTGATCCATCTTCCCCATATAATTTTTGTCTGCATCATTAATGATCCATTAGCAGAATATAATGGAGAGTATGGGATCTGATTCTCCTTGAAGGATGCATAGCTGTGGTGCAGAACTAAAGATGAAGCATTTCAGTTGCTTGTCTCTTTCGTGCGGCGGATTGGAGACTAAGTTCTTTCCTTCAGATTTGACATTGGAGTCATAGAGTGATAGAGGGCAAGAAAAAGAGAATAAGGTTTTTCTCATAATTTTAGATGTCGCGTGCACCGGTGTCGTAGTAATAGAGTTTTAATAGTGCAAGAATAAAGCTCATGATCTTATTCCCGGCGGTTCCCGTCCTTCTGTTCTCTCTTTTGGTTTCAGTGGAAGGCTACGGTACAGGATGGCGTGTTGGTGTATAACGTAACATCTAATATACCCTGTGGATTTCAGTTGTCTATGCTACTAGAAACTGTGATATAATAGTAAATCTTCGAGGCCTTCAGGAGAAAATATGTTACTCCCTCCGTTCCAAAATAGATGACTCAACAGTACAAAGTTCAGTCATCTATTTCGGAACGGAGGGAGTACAAGTGAAACTTTGATCAAGTGAAACTTTGATCTGCGAAAATACCTGTGCGCTAATGATTAAATAAGTTCCAGAAAGTCCCTGCATTCTTACGTCACTAGTAGCTGCAGTTTAAAGATAAATCACATAACTCCCAAACATCAGTTCGTCTGTTCTGTTTCAGTGACCTTCTGCAAGCAAAAATGAGTTATTTTTTTGAATAATGGAGGAGTGACTTTCCCAGCCTTTGCACCGCATCTAAGTACCAGATCTCAGGTAATAATTGTGGTTGACAGGCGGTTTGGCTTTGTAGCCTTGCTGCCGGCTAGCCGTGGTAGGATCACCGGAAAAAATAGCGCGCTATAGCTTCATGAGGAATAGCTCGCCAAATAAATCAGTGTAGAACGTCTCGATAATAACGTATTATAAGGTCAGCCTATTTTTTCACTGGATAGGATGCAGCGCTGTCTAGAATAGCTTGCACATAGAAGAGGGGCGCTGGGTAGGAGAGAAGCACAAGGTAGAAGACAAAATGATAACTCTCTTTTGGTCACGATCCTCTCCTTGTAACCATCTTAAGTGGTGTTTTTCTTTAAGGGAGATGGGATACCTTACTTTTGTTGGTTTTTCTTTAAGTGAATTTGTTTTGCAGCCTTTGCGATGAGGATTAAAGCCAAGTTTTGAAAGTTCAAACAACCAAACCGACGTGAGTCAGTTTGGGTGTTTCAAGTTTCAACACTTGGCTTTTAATCGTCACCGCAGAGGCTGCAAGACAAATTCGCAATGGTGTTCGATCGCCATCGACGCCGAGAACTGTTGTTGTGGGACGCCGGACGCCGACATCACTTGTGGGACGTGGATGTAGTGTTCGACACCGACGGCCACATGTATCTCGCACCGACGATACTTGCTATTTAGGGTTCCATCGACATCGAGGAACCCCCTAACCCGCTCGACCCGGTTTCGTCGGTGATGCACCCCTAATCTTCTTCTTCCTCCTCCTCTTCTTCATCTTCTTCTTCTTCTTATTTTTTTTCATCTTTCATCTTTCTTCTTAACCTAAACTAAACCTAATAAACTTAACCTAACCTAAACTAAATCTAAACCTAAAAAACAAAAACAAAACCTAAACTAAACCAAGCCTAAATTAAACTACACCTAATTAAACTAAATCTAAAAAAAAGAAAAGAAAAAAGAAAAAGAGGGATGTCTCGCCTTCAGGCGCGGAAGGGGGTGCCTGGGATGGAGGAGGGGGCGTCGGAGCGGCGGGGTGACCGCGGGGG